AATAGAACAGAAAATAGCAGCAACATTTCGACCTGCTAAGAAGTCTTTGTGAAGCTATCGCTCTTTCACAAAATAAGTCATGCCAATATTAGCACTGTTTTTACTGGGAGCATAATAAGGAAACATTAAAAGTTTTAAGAAATTAAAATAGTCAGATATCTTAAGGCCTATTTAATAAATAAAGAATTGAGACAAATTAATTAGGGAATTAAAATGTTTAGGCTAAAATATAATATAATTATATAATATATATAATAGCTTGATAATTTTGACCTACAATTTTCAATTTACTTTTATCATTTGTAAAATGAACTTTGTTTTAAAAGTATAACATTTCATTTCTAAAAATTAATATATTCTAAAAAAAAGTTTTTTTAATAAAAAAATTATACTTTTACCTAATATATCTTTTTCAGTTCTACTCAATTCAATTTCAAGTGCAGCACACATGTAATTGTAGTGTCAGAAACATACCCCTGTGACAAACTAAGCCACGGGCAGATATAGATGCCAGAAGGGATACAATTATGGAATGTTGAAGGCACAGAGATATTTTTAAACAGATAATGGAATGAGTGCTCCAGTATGTTCCAATGTACTCTCTTTCTGTTATAGAAAACCATATGTGCTGGGGAAAGATTCTAAGCATCTAATTAAAGCCCAAGGAATAATGATTTTGAAGACCTGAAAATCAATTAACTTTGGTATAAAAATTGGACAGAGGTTTTAAATCTGTATCCCAAATAGATATTTTTTAGAAAGTAGTCTACATGTCACTACAGCCAGTTAACTAATAACAAAAATATAAATGTATTTATAACAACAATCAGATTTGGAAAATTGTATGTTTTTTCATGCGTCGATATCTTGATAAGCATGAACCCATTGGTGTACTAACCAAAGAAATTCTAGGTTGGACAGCTCAGAGTAATCCCAGCCCCATTTAGAGAGCACATACATTTTTTTTCAGTTTATTACTGGCAAAATGTTATATAATCCTTAGGGCGTTTATTAGGAGAGTGAGATAAACAACTATTTTTACACATGCCTGGTCTTTCTTATTGTTCTTAAACAGTCCAAAATATGATCTTCAAATCTACACCAGATTTTTTTTTTTTTTGAGGAGGGGAGGGGGGGTGAGGAGGGATTAGTAGAAGCAACACTCTTAAGTGCAAGGTGGCACTTGAAATAACTTCTGCTGTGAGCTTAAACTCTCTCTAATCTCCCCTGAGCCCCTACCAAAGACTAGACTACACTAAACTCACACTAACCATTACGTCTACACTTAATTTCAATAACAATAACCATTAATTTCTATACTACCCTAACAATTGCTCTACCATAAATATTACCATATACACTATCCTAACGCTAACATCAATCCTAGCACTTATCCTAATACTAACCTAACATCAGCCCTTATGTAGATCCCTCGCCCTATGTTTCTATGAAAACTGAAGTTTTTGTTTTTTTGCGTCCCACATAAATTTAAACCTTGTTTATTTGGCCCGTGTTAGACTTTGAGTTTGACATGCTTGATATAGATAATCATGAACAACAGGCCAAGATTAGTTTTTGGACTGATTATTCTCCATCACACATTTGTCTTCCCCCTCTATACTCACTATCTATACTCACTATCTCCACATGATTCATTTAAACTAGTTACCAACTTACACACGAGAATAAGAACAAAATCAGCTTTTTAAACATTCAAGAGTCTTTCTCAAGCTCTGTTCTACTGCATCCATAAAGCTCAACCAATCCAACCTATCCAGTCCGTTTATCTTCCACAGTATAGTAAATGAGATCACAACATAGAAATTAGAGGAATTGTGTTATGTTAGTTTTTTGGATATATTTACATATTTGCTTATGTTACTTCAGGGATATAGAAACTAATAATCAAAATATAGCAGGTATTAGAACATTGCTGTGTGTAATCATCATGCAAACAAAAATGTTTGGGTATCCACCAAACACAACATGCTAAGCAGCTTTTGATGAGTCTTATATTTGCAATTAAATAGTTTCAAAACATCTTGATAGCAATAGAAGATAATTATGTTCACAGATTGCTGCAAATTGAAGTCTTGCACCAAATCGCCATGGGATCAATTACAATGACTGAAGTCTTTTAAAATACTAGCTAGGGAGTTATATACTGTACAAGTATATCCTGCCTCTAAAAATAGTCATTCATGTGAAAGTGGACAAAATTATTGCGAAAAACGAAAGAAAAATAAGTATGCCATTTGGGATGGTTTGGAAATCCACCAAGCAATAGATCAAAGGGTCTATCACCTAAAGTCTGACTTTCCAAGTACTTTTTGAAGAAACATTATTTGAACAATTATTTTAAAAATATTGCAGATTTCATCTGCTCCTATATTCACGTCATTTAGAAATAGTTTTTCCATTTCCCAATGTTCTCAGCAGACTTTTTCATTGTATGTTTATTCAAGACATGATCTCAAGCACATCCAACCCTTAAAATCAAAGACTTCATTGATGAATCTAGCTTGGTTAAGCTTGTCAGCTTTCAAACTGTCTTAAAGACGATAATTAATTGCTAACTTGTGATAGTATAATTATTTATGGCTGTCAAGCACAAGCAGAGCTGAGCTAAGAAAGTCTCTGAGTTGAGTCAATTATAATAGTAGACTTCAGTGTAAGATTGATATTTATATTTCAGGAATACAACTTGACCTGTGGGTGGCTAGACCACAAAGTCGTGTCCAATAACCATTCTGAAGGAAAGTGACTGCATTTATTTCTTGCTTTACTGAAATAGTTACTCAAGTTACAGAAATTGATTCTTTTAAACTAAGAACGACACGATCAATGAAAGTGTTGTATTTAGTATTTTATACCATCTGAGGTTTTATATGTGATATAGCTTGTCATTGTTGGTATAGAAATGAGTAAAGTACACAACTAATGCCTTACTAGCTATTGTACCTTATCTACGATTGTTGAAGTCTCTGTTCTTCCACAGTTTAAGAGACGATCGGTTCCCTGTTCTTTTTGTATCAATTTGTGTATATCATCTCTCCGTATTCTGTGCAATAACCAATGTTCTATTTTCATAAATTGAAAGAACTGCTAAATGTTTTCTTTTTTAAATTTTTGTAAATAAGATGTGCAAAAATAAATACCGTAAACAACCTAAATATTTAATTCAAATAAAAAATTAATGAACACTGCAATCTCAAATGAATGAAAACTGATGATGACTTGATATTTAGGGAAAATACACACATAAACATCATATCACCACCAATCTAACATCGCCTCTATCCTTCCAATGGTATCTAACATCGCCTCTATCCTTCCAATCAGCACAATAGGTTATTTTATGTAAAGACAAATAAATGGTATTAAAGGAATAATAAAAAAACTGACTTCTACACATATCTTCTTAGGTCATAGATATTGTTACACTAAGTCTACTGTGCCAGTTGTATAAACATGCCCAACATATTATCTTAGTATGATATGTTATTACAGCAAAAATAAATGTGCATTCAAAAATAAGATTCATTTCTGGTATTTCATTATATTTACTATGCCAGTTACATAAACATGTGCAACCATATTACCTTATTATAATACCATATTACAGCAAATGCAATGTGCACAGAAAAACAAGATTCATTTTTGGATCTAACCGTGTGTAACTTCATATGAGGCTATTGATATGTCACTACTGCAATATTGTAATCCATATTCAACTACATACTGTGAATTATATTTAACTAGCACGCATTGCCATTAGCTAAAATTGGAGTTCACAACAGGAGAAAAATGTAAAGGTCTTTCTGACGTGACCTTTTTTCTGGAAATAGGTAATTTCAAGTATAAACTCTTTGACACACATTAAAGCCATGCATATGAAAGGACATGGGTGTGAGCAGATGGACATGCATATAACATGGCATGAATTTAACACGTTGTATGTTTTATTGCTGAATACATATCAGGTTAGCAATTGTATTATATAGAGATCCATAAATATATTCTTATAACATTTAGTAATGGTAATGCAACTGTATTGTTGATAATATAGGTTGATAGTTATGTAGGTAGATAGATAGATAGATAGATAGATAGATGGATAGATGGATAGATAGATAGATAGATAGATAGATAGATAGATAGATAGATAGATAGATAGATAGATAGATAGATAGATAGGTAGATAGATAGATAGATAGATAGATAGATAGATAGATAGATAGATAGATAGATAGATAGATTAAACATAATTAAAATGTAAACTATATTCAATAGAAATGCAATACTATATACAAAAATCAGTTTAATGACTCTAAAATGCTCAGTCATTTGAATTAAGAATATAAAACATTATTAAGTAGAAGTATATATTTATTAATATTGTTTTATCTGTTAAGATTGTGTATGCCATTTACTTGTTATCATATATTCCCATTCTAGTTTTGTAAAGTTTTGCGGAGTACATTGCGCTATATAAATAACAATAATAATAATAATAATAATAATAATAAATTATTATATTTCATTTTTAAAAAAAACTGTTATTTTCTGTTGCATAGCTGCCATTCTGTTTGATCAAGATTTTCACATATTTCCTTTTACCTGGTATAATGTTGATATCAAAATATGTCTTTGTAATCTAATTGGCTGTTAGCATCACAGGGTTTTAAAATTATGTATCTATGTCCACTCTGAGAATATTTTCAAGATTTATTATGGCTAGACGTACTATGGGTTGATTAGATAAAAATAATTTTAATATGTTAAGAGTAATAATAAGTATGCATTCAGTACAAGTCAATCTGCAAGTACCAGTAAATATTTGTTGTCAAATCGAAAAATAATATCATAACTATATATGGAAAACAAAACTTTGAATCACAGTGCATTAATATTATATTTTAAAAGAACATCGTCATTAATTAAATTGATTTTATGAAGTACTTATATATTATATTTTATATATATTTTCTCTAACTTTAGGAATGACTTGCCAAGCACGGACATCGTACACAGAAGATGAAGTGTTATGGGGTCATCGTTTTTTTCCTGTGATATCCCTGGAAGAAGGATTCTTCAAAGTAGACTATTCACAGTTTCATGCAACATTTGAAGTTCCAACTGCACCTTATAGTGTTAAAGAGCAAGAAGAGATGCTTCTAATGTCTTCTCCTTTAATAGCACCAGCAGTAAGTAACAGCAAAGAGAAAACTCATTCAGTAGACTGTCTGGACAGTCTCGATGACATTAGTACAAAAATCCCTTCCAAACTGCAGAAAATGACTGGTCGAGAGGACCTGCCAAAAAAACTTCTCAGAATGAGTTCTACAACGTCTGAGAAAGCATATAGCATGGGAGATTTGCCAATGAAACTTCAAAGAATTAGTTCAGTTCCTGGCAATTCAGAAGAGAAACTGGGGCTTAAAACCACAAAGATGATGTGCGATCCAATGAGTCAATCAGTAGCAGATTTGCCACCAAAGCTTCAAAGATTGTCTGGTGGTAGGATGGATGGAAACTTACCACCCAAATTACGGAAAATGAATTCAGATCGATTTACATAACACTAACTTTTAGCCATTTATCAAAGCTATGGTTTGGAAAAGAAATCCTCAAGTTAAATATGGAGGAGAACCACAAGGAATCGATCTAATGTAGATCTTGCCATAACGCAGGGTTCCTTGTTATATAACATAGATTGGGCAAAAGTGTTAATGATGAGGTAGTAAAGACTGTACTGTACATATAGTGCTTTGATATAAGACCTATTTTTCTTTAATGGTCTTACTAGAACTGCAGTAATACTAATTGGCATGTAGTATCACATCAAGCATGCAATAATAGTGTGCAAATTTTGCAAATAGTTTTTTGGCATGTTTCATACTTTATATTGTATAATCAAGAAATATGAAAAGGGGCATTACTTTCCCCATATTTTTTAAGACTAGTAGTTCTATATGAAGATTGGTTAACTATAAGGGCAAGATTATATTTATGTTTATTTATTATTTGGGTTTAGAGTGTATATATTTGTCCATGCAAGTCATTTTAGAGCATGTGTCCATCACTGAAGCAGGAGCTAACTTACTATGGGTGGACAAATCATTGGCTATTCATTTAATGAATCGCCAACAATTTTCACGCCATCATTTTAACAATTTTTGGAAACAATTTCTATTTTGCTAAGTGCAGATTTTTCAACATATCAGGTGTTTTGTTACCTATTTTGTGGATGTTTTCCAGATGTGATACCAGGAACAGAGCCAAAATACTCATGGAATGGCCATAGAGGACTTAAAACACAGCTAAATCGAGTGAATTAATTTTTAATATTGTTTTTTGTAAAATTCTGATCATATCGTAACTATAGAAAACAAAAGATACATTGGAATTTCATTTGTAACAGCCTATATAATGCTATAAAGTCACTCTGGAACTTTTTGTTTTGCTGTGTATGTGTATTAAACCTCAAAATATTTGCACATCCCCCTATAAAAAAAAAACCCACAATGTGAAAGGGCTGTCTAAAATGTATTAAACTATCTATCCTTTACTAAAACAATGTCTTATTATTGTTTGATAAGTCTACTTTAAATCATAAATGCATTAAACAACAGAGAGAAAAATGATGTCACAACACACTATCATAAAATATAACATTCAAATATTTTTTTAATAATATTAACATTGATCTGATCTCAGTTTAGCTTGCATATACACAGCAAATGAAGTTAGAGTTGGAAATGAAGTTACAGTAGGTACAAGGAACACTGCATTGATAATGTTTCCTGGTGTATTTTTATTAATATGAGTCTGTGTCTAATATTTTACAATATTTTAAAAAGTATTATTTTTCAAAACTATGTATTAGCATACACACTGTAAAAATAAAAGTTAATTTTATTACAGAATAAATGGACAATGGATAGCATAACATTTTAAACAACCATTTGACAATATCTATCTATCTATCTATCTACATATCTGTCTGTCTGTCTGTCTATCTGTCTATCTATCTAGCCATACAGTATCTATCTATCTATCTATCTATCTAGCCATACAGTATGTATCTATCTATCTATCTATCTATCTATCTATCTATCTACCTATCTATCTATCTATCCACATATTATCTATCTATCTACATATCTACCTATCTGTCTATCTATCTATCTATCTATCTATCTATCTATCTATCTATCCACACTTGTAATCATCTGAAAAGACAATAAAAACATAATTATGAGAAATATGATTCCAAAGCATTAAATATGTTTAATTATTATAAGAATAATCTGATAATATTCTAAAAAGTCTGCCTTTCCATAGTAAATTAACCCTTAAGCCGAAGGGTTAATTCACTCCCTGTGTGAATTAATCCTTAAGCCGAAGGGTTAATTCACTCACTTGATTTGACTACACAGTTAATATATTTGACTACTGAGTTAATGTAATAATGGGGGATTGATTGACAGCCAATGGTATGCTCATGAAGTCAGTTATTATTGCTTACGTTATTTCAGTTAACATATTTGCGTTAAATAATTTTCTGCTGTGCTATGTTTGTCTTGGTGATAGGCTTGGTGGAATTATAAAGCTGTTAACCACATAGTATTTGCTCTTTAGAAATAAACCCATACTTTGTCCAATATAAGACATGATCTGTTTTTAAAAGAAATCAGGAAACATGAAAGCCTACTGGTGCTATCTTTGAACTTATTGAAGTTGTGCCCGAATTTAAGATACGACTTTGATAAGCATAACTAGAGACCTTAAGCTCTGCTTCATATTAGGATGATCTGAAGTTTAGTAAGTATGCAAAACTATACCGATTTTCTACTTTTAATGGGTTAATATAATATTGAAACAATGGCAAAACAGTGGAAAATAGAATCAAAATTCTAACCTATTTTGGTACTACATGTGTGTAAATCTATCTATCTATCTATCTATCTATCTATCTATCTATCTATCTATCTATCTATCTCTCTATCCATACAGTGTATGTCTGTCTATCTATCTATCTATCTATCTATCTATCTATCTATCTATCTATATCTATCTCCATCTAGATTTCTATATACATACATATAAACATACATATTTGTATATATTCATTTACATGCGTTTATTTATATATGTATGTCACTAGGGGGGCCGGGGGTGCAATGACTCATAATTAAGTTGTCAAAAACATGGCAGAAAATACCTGGGCTCATAACATATTTATATAAATCTCACAGCACAATATAAATGTAGGAGGTAAACTCAGATGCTATAGTGTAATTACTTTTATTACAGGGGAACAAGGGAATGGGATCTATGGTAAACATTAGTCACCAAGATCTCTGGAATCTCAGGAAAATAATAAGGAATTAAAAAAAAAAAATATATATATATATATATAGATATATATATATATATTTTTTTATTTTTTTGAAAAGGGTACAAGCATTTTATTAAAGCTGCCCACTGTTTGAATGGATGTGCTTTATTTGTGACACTATGCTATATAAATATTATAAAAGTCATGCAGTGCTTTCTCAAGGGCCCATTGGAAGTAATGTTTATTTTTGATACCAGTTTTCCTGTGTGGAGCTCCTTGCTAAATATAAATTTTCATCTCAACATTTATTTAGTATATAACCTTTTTAAAATATGTAGTCCTTGCACAAAAGAAATAGAATTCTGCAAAGCATTGCAAAAGTTATTTTTTTTTGTATCACCAAAGATGTGAAGATAAGGGGGTGGAGGGGGGAACAAAAGATAAGGAAGAAAAAAATCTGTTTTTGTATTTTCTCTTTTCAAAAACAGATTTTTTTTTTACATTTTTATTTCTTCACAGACGTACCCATGACACAATTAAATTGCTAAAAGACTGAGTTTTATAATGTATTTATATCAAAATATAGATCCAATAAAATATATATTAAAACAAATACCATCAATTTAGATGGCATAAATAGCCATAAAATGATTGTGGAATGTAATTTTCAAGTATTAAATAACACCTGGTGTACAGTGTGCAGTGTATAAGAATTCAACTCAATAAAGGTTTTTTTTTTTAAACTTTCTATTTTTCTGTTGATTTATTTATGTTTATTTTTAATATTTGCCCATTTGTACCTGTAATATTCAGATTTTTGGGAATGTTTTGTAGTTGTTCCTTTAAAAACAAAAAAATTTGAGTATAATACAATTAATGATCGCTTAATGACTTTACTTTTAAGGTTTTTATCAATATCTGTAACTTGACAGAATTGGGAAATTTATAAAATTCTGAATCCTTGTTGGAGCTTGAGGACCGATATGGGAAAAACTATCGTGGAGCCGTTACCATGTATGACAATTGTCTAATGATATAAACAAAACCCCAAAAAACCTTTGAATGTTCTATTGAAAAAGGTTTTCAACACATGAAATATGAACGTGAATTATAATTAAATACATAGATTGACACTTACAGGGTTATTCAATGAAGTGAGAAGTCAAAGTGAATTTCAAATTCAAGGTTAAAATAGCAAATTTGGAAACATTCTCTAAGGCAGTTATGTTTCTAGTTCATCGTCTTTGGCCTCAAGTTTGAAATTCACTTTTAATTGTTACATTAGTGAATAGCCTTGATTATGTGACATCCATTTGTAATGCATTATATACAATATATAATAGACTTAAAGATTCCCACCTTGATAGTTTCTGTTACCCCTGCACTTCCACAGGCAAAAATAATAGAATCCTACCTGGACCAGTAAGAATGTCCAACAATCAGATGCCTCTTATTTTGGTCTATGAAAACAGATCCTATCCCATAAAGCTCAAACCAACAGAGTTTAAAGTGTTATGCAGTGCAGCCCACATCATTAGTATCACTCATAAGATTGAATCAGGTATCAGCCAAGCAGGGGTGTGGTTATCCTTTTGTGCTGGAGAGGAGCTGTATTGATGTGCACACAATGTACAAATATTTGTTTGTTTTTTTATAGTCAACATAGGAAGCTAAGACGTACTTAGGTTACATAGCACATGGGGTGAGATTTTATTGAGCCCCCACACCCTGAACTGTAAAAATATACTAACATTCATATACATATTCACACACATACAAACACACACACACACATAAACACACACCATATTCACATGTACTTACATTCATGTACACTTATACATTCATTTACACACACATGGACACATATACAGTATCTCACAAAAGTGAGCACACACCTCATGTTTTTGTAAATATTCCATTATATTTTTTCATGTGACAACACTGAAGAAATGGTACTCTGCCACAATGTAAAGCAGTATGTGCACTCACTTTTGTTGCTAACGGTTTAGACATTAATGGCTATGTGTTGAGTTATTTTGAGGGGACAAATTTACACTGTTATACAGGCTGTACACTACTTTACATTGTAGAAGAGTGTCATTTCTTCAGTGTTGTCACATGAAAAGATATAATAAACTATTTACAAAAATGTGAGCGGTGTACCTCACTTTTGTGAGATACTGTACAAACATACATGTTGATACTCAAACACACAGACTTATACTTATATCATACTTATACACACACAAAGAGAATCCCACACAGACTTATACATACACGCAGTCATATACACACACACACACATTTATGTACACACACACTGACTCAAACACACACATATTTATGCACACATTATTTATTTGTTTATTAACAGTGAGGTCCACCCATCCTCACCCCTGGTGTCCAGTGAGGAGCTGCAAGGATCTGTTGTTGTACTGATTGTCTATCTCCCTGCAGCCCTGTAATGATGACTTGGCTGGGGTGACATAATATCCTGACTTTAGCAGTAGTATTGGGCCCGTGAGAGTGATCCTAGCAGTTTCAGTGCAGAGTGATACTTGCAGCCCACTGACAGGTCAGTGACATAGCAGTCAACCTCCGCTAGAAATGTGCCCAGTAGGTAGGCACATGCTCTGGTGGTAGGGGGTGCTCTATGAAACCTGCTCCACATCCCATTAGTACACCTCCAGGAGGAAGTAGGAAGTACAGAAATACTTTCATCTTGCAATGAATTGTACCCTTATACCTGTCAATATTATATACAAAAAACACAGAATATGAGAACTCAGAGAGAAGGCAAAAGCTAAGAGAAGTAGATACTAGAAAGTTGGAGTGCGCTAGCAACTGCACTGGAGTCAGGATCTTCTCTGAGTACTCTGAAGAAATATACAGTATATAGTGCAGACTATCTGTATATATAGGGTATGCAAAATTAAAAGTATATCTTGGGATCAACTCACATAGACCAGAGCCCTATCATCCCTGGCTCTGGGTTTGAATTGCTCCAATGGAGAGGGATAAACCCACAGTATAGCAAAACGGGATACTATTCTGAATCAGATGTAATATCTAGGCAGTATAAACAAACAGAGAGGCCGGAGCCCAAATTGAATAGCATCAAACACAGTATTTATTTAAACAAAAGGTTAAAAACTCTTACTTGAAGTAGTGGGTTTGCCAGCAATAAACCCACAACTAGATAAGCAGGAATTTACACACAGAAAATGATACAGCTTAGACACTTCCTGGTTCTGGTCATGTGACCGCCGGGACCGCCTCTCTCTGATGTCACACATGACGCGTTTCGCCCGAATCCTGGGCTTCTTCTTCTGAAAAGCTGAGAGAAGCTCAGTAGCTTGCCCTTCGGTTAGTCCAGACTCAGGTCTCAATATGTTTTTGCTTACTTGTGCCATAACAAAGAGGTCCTATACCATTTGCATCTCAAACTAATCCCACCCATCAAGGCAGTCCAGAATCAAAATACCGTCAAGTTGCCTCGGCAATTGAGATATAGCAACAATCATTTTGACCTTCTTTTGGTGTCTCTGATAACCCTCTAGGCACAATGGATACAGGGTCCACATCTGGAGAATGAGATCCACATCAGTGGTGAAATATGAAAAATAATAAAGCAATCCTTCAGAACAAAGCAGCGTTAACATAAAGACAGATTTTTTTTATATCCAACAAAGATATCAGAAGACCACTTATTCATCTAATAATTATACCTCCAAATATATCAGAATAGGTCAACAATGTTAAAAATGAAAACACCAAATACAAATTAACAAAACAGTGAAACCAAAAACTTTCATATGGATTTATCTGCACCGAACAAAAAACCTGTTACAAAATATCAAATATGTAAGATAAATACAGAGTAAAATACTGCAAATTCAAATGCAAATGTATCCTGAATTGTATTAAAAGTCAGTTTGCAAGAACCAACGTAAACGTTGTTTAGTAGTTTAGAAATTATTATACATACCTAATATATTGTGCAAATAGGAATGCAGAAACAGCTGCCACTCACAAATGCAAATTTTTTGAAAATCCCCTTTAAATCGCAGCGGATGCATGTTGTTGTTTTGTTGCCATGTGCTCTGCGTGTTGTCATGTCTACTCATCTCACAGTTGACTGGTTCATCGGGATATTCTAAAGAAGCAGCCATCTGCAAACAGTATAGATAGCCGGATATAACATCACAAGAGAGCAATAAAAGCCACAATCTGCAGGAAACATTTTTAAAGGTGCACTTTTTGTTTATACAGCTGTGTCTGCATTCCTTCTCACACAGTATAAGCATGTACAATCATTTATTAGTTACTAAGAGCAAATATGAACTAACCTAGAATGATCATACGTTTTTTAACATGATCCACTTATTTATACAAGGTAAGATTTCAAAGTGAATTTCAAATTAAGGTAAAAATAGCCAAACTGGAAACATGCTGTACAGTGAGGGAATAAAGTATTTCATCCCCTGCTGATT